CCCTATCGTCACTACGCCTTTGCCAACGGTCTCTCCCGCTCCTATCATCCCGCGCGGCGCAGCACTTCCGCGACGCTCCCTAGCCGAAATTTTGTCAGGGCTCTCGCGAGAGCAAGCGGCTCTAGGCGTTCCCGACATGCCCTACTTCTCCTTTTCTCCGCCGCTGTCCAGAGGTGAGGAGTTATGGTTGTCAGTGAGCCGTTCTAATCCAGTTCTATCCTGCCCAGGATGCCCTGGGGAGGCAGTGAAGGGGCGAGAGCTTGAGGTCTCAGTCCGCCTCACTGGACGCCCTTGGTATTTGTGGAAGGACGGAAAGAGAGCGGGGATGGCGAGCTTGGAGGTAGCCGGCTGGGGTGAGGGGAAAGCAGGCCCTACGGATCGGCCATGGCTGCGGTGATGACTTTCTTAGGACACCTTTGGATTTAATTGTGAAAAGAAAGCATAGTTTCTGAGCAGTTCCTGCAGTTAGTTATTGGCAGTAAGGTGAACAATCCAGGTTCTGCTTATCTGCTTAAGCTTTAATATGGGTCTTTTTTAATTGCTTTTTTGCAGCTGAGATCTGAAAATGGTGCGCTACTCCCTGGATCCGGAGAATCCCACAAAATGTGAGTTTTTTGTGAACATTTGTATAGGACTTGACCAAAGCCATTGAGCTTTTAATTTGAAAAGTTTGTCTTATTTTTCTCCACAGCATGCAAGTCACGGGGATCCAACCTGCGAGTGCATTTCAAGGTAGGCAGTGTGTGGATAGTAAGAAATGCAATTCCATTTGGTTTTGGTTTGATTTTGTTATTTTATTGTTGGGTATTTGGTTGAAGGAAGTGTCTGTTATTCTATATCATCGCATGATTACTTAAGGGTGGTAGCATAGGTTATGGCTTGTGTTTGCTTTAGCTGCTTGTAATGGTTTTCATTCACAGGATCAAAAAGAAGATACTGTGTCCTAGAGTTTTCTCTCAAATACAGATAATAAAATACAGTAGGAAAACAGCTGTAGTGAATTTAGCAGGAGGAATTGGGCTAGTGTCAGATGTGAGATTTATTTCATTTGTCTTACTCTGCCTTTCTGGTTGCTTGGAAAGATCATGGGATTCACCTGCTCATGCTGCTGGTTGAGAAGTATTGTCAGGGGAGGCATATGGTGTTTGGCACGAGGACATAGGTTTCTTTGGAAAAGGTTTAGGTGTGGCAGTGAATTCAGGATATGTTCGAGTTAACCACAAAATCAAAGCTGAGCAGATGCTTTTCTGTTCCACATTGATAAGATATTTCACTTATTTTGAGTTGCTTTTTTTACTATGATCAGGTGGGATTATAGTTACTCTGATTTTTGCATTTAGTATGTTGCCTTAAGCACTGATACTTTTAGCCTTTTTTTTTTCTTTCTGAACCTTTTTTTCTCTTAATTTACAGAGATACTTATATTGTTTGTTTATATCTTGATTTCTCATCACTTCCTCTGAGGTGCCATATTTGACATTTTAGCAGGAATTTATCCTTTGGGCTCCAGCTTTTTTGGATTAGTGGCCAAAGAGGAGCTATGAAAAGTATACTCAATTTTTAATTTTGTTGATTGGAAAGATCTAACCATTAGGTAAAAAAACAGTAATGTTTTATTTAGAGCTGCAAATTCAGTAATGGTAGTCATACCAAGGGTTAGAAAAGTAGGTAGCAAAAAAAAAAAATAGCATTCTTAATTATTCTTTAATTTAGGTGTGGGGTTTTTTTTTGTGTGAGTGCTTCCTTTAAATTGACATTTTAGCAAAAAGAATAGGATCCAGGAGAGAGAGAGAGAGGGGTGCTTTTGTTCACATTGTAACTTGTAAATATGTGTTAAGAGGAACTTTACTATGCTCTGTATTTCTAGAACACTCGAGAGACTGCTCAGGCCATCAAGGGCATGCACATCCGCAAGGCCACCAAGTACTTGAAGGATGTCACCTTGAAGAAGCAATGCGTTCCCTTCCAGCGCTACAATGGAGGAGTTGGTAGATGTGCCCAGGTGAGATCTGAGATGAAAATGTGAGAAGGATGCTGTGGCTGGTTAAGAGAGAGAGATGATTTTGAGATAGCATGGAGAATAGTCTGTCATTGTTGATGATAACCTTGTATTAAAGTACAGAATCCTAGAATGGTTTGGGTTGGAAGGGACCTTAAAGCTCATCTAGTTTCAACCCCCCTGCCATGAGCAGGGACACCTTCCATTAGACCAGCTTGTTAGAGAGGGAGAGAAGAGTTACTCTTAATTTCAGTACTGCATTGCATCTGCTTGCACTGTCAGGTAATTGATGAAATTTAATAATTTTGTTATCTAATCTTAATAGAAGGGAATGTAATGGCAAGTTAATGGTGCCTGAAGGGTAAATTGTGTTGTACTGGGAGAAAAATGGAACTCTTGTTGTCTTCTTCCAGGCCAAGCAGTGGGGCTGGACTCAGGGACGCTGGCCCAAGAAGAGCGCAGAGTTCTTGCTGCACATGCTCAAAAATGCAGAGAGCAATGCTGAGCTCAAGGTAGGCTGTGTCAGTGTTACTGTATGCAAAGTGTTTGTGTTGTGCTGCGTGTCAGCACTCCTGGACTGAGTGTCTCTGACGTGGAAGACTGGGTAATGCCTGCTTTGTCAATGAAACTAAATTGTATTGTGGTGTTGGTATACTCTGTTTGAATTAGGCTCTGTGTGTTTTTCAAGTTAAAATGGGAGTAATAATTTTTCACAGGGAGATAGTTTGCACATGGTTATCAACTGTTTTAAGTGATGTTTAGGTCTCTTAAAAACTACAAAACAAAGCAAAATGTGGACTCTTGGTCAGTTTGTAACTTTGTAATATACTTGGTGCTTAATTTAGTAACTTTGATGGCAGTGATGACTATCTTAGGACACCTTTGGAGTAACCATGAAATAACAATTGTCTCTTTCCGAGCCATCGACATAATTTTAAATTGATTGTGATGCATAGGGGGTGGTCTCTGTTTTTCTGACTTTGATTGGTGCTTGCTTGCTAAATACTCAGTTCTGTGGCACCTCCAAATTTGGCCATTTTATTTGCCAGCAGTGGTATGTGCCTGGAGGGTGATTATTCACATTTTTGCTTTGGATATTATTTATTTGAAGATAAAAAACAAGTCACAAGTTTTATTCTCCTCCCTGCCAGGGTCTTGATGTGGATTCTCTGGTCATTGAGCACATCCAGGTCAACAAGGCTCCCAAAATGCGCCGACGCACCTACAGAGCACATGGTAGAATCAACCCCTACATGAGCTCCCCCTGCCACATAGAGATGATCCTCACTGAGAAGGAGCAGATCGTTCCCAAGCCAGAGGAGGAAGTTGCTCAAAAGAAAAAGGCATGTAGTGTCATACCCTTAGTCCTCTAATGTCAGCATTGGGAGAGCCGAGTGTTCATACTTGGCATTTTTCAGGCAGAGAGGTTGCTGTAATGACTATCTTGAGACACCTTTGGAATACCCAATGAAAGAAAAAAGCTATTTTTGAACAACCTCAATATTTATTGTGAACACCATGTTGATAACTTTGGAAAATGGGTTTTCAGGGGTTTATATTATACCGGGAGTTTGTTCTTCCTTTCCTCAGCCCATGCATGTGAAGCTGGGATGTACTGCAATAAAATTTAAATCGCAAGCCTGTAAGCAATGTAGTACTTGTAGGGACACTTATGTACGTGAAAGTACAATCAACAGATCATTTTGTAAACGGGTGAAGAAATTTCTAACAGTTCTCAGTACCTTCAAAAGATAACTGTAAATTTATTTGTAAGATGTTTTGGAAAGGTATGTTCTCATTTTGCCATTTTCTCATTTCTGTTTGTTTTTCAGATATCCCAGAAGAAGCTGAAGAAGCAAAAGCTAATGGCTCGGGGGTAAATCTGCTCTGACAGATGTACATAATAAAATGAAAAAGTTTATCGTGTGTTTCTCTGCTTTGGTTTCAGCAAGGTGTTGCTGTGGGACAGCTGCAGGTAGTGAGCACGGTAGTTGGGATGCCTGTTATTGCAATGCTGGGGATCCTGTTGACTTATCACTATTATTCACGTGTAAAAACGAGATAATTGGGAACAAGTGCAGCACTTTGCTTACTCCGCTGTTCTGGCCCATTCGGGCTGCCTGGCGGTGACTGTGGCCAGAGCGGAATGGCTGGCAGGCACTGCTGGGTGCTAACGTGGCTCTTGGGAGCGGGGCATGGACCACATGATGCGCACGTCGCCTTCTATTGGTGGGGGTGAGTGCGAGGCGTGCGAGGCAGTCTACAGATGGGGCCACTCCTGATCCCCCAAGAGTCCCTTCGTAGTCTACCACTCCTCTAGTCCGGCCGGGAGCCGACCTTATCTCACCGTTTGCTGCTCTTCTCTGTGGCCAGAGTGGCTCTGTTAACCGGGAGCAGACGGGGTGAACCCCGAAACATAATAGCATATGCTGAGGTGTGGAGCTCTTTGGTTTCAATGCATGTTTGGGTGGAACTTAACCGATTCAGAAAAATCTTTGCTCCCACGTGTATGTCAGCAGGAGGGGGAAATGCCACCGCTGCTTTTTAAAACAATAAAAATTGACTGTCAACTGGGAAGGCTGGCCTGGCTTTTGGGAATATTCTAGCCTGACATAATCCTACAGAGGCAGAACTGGAGTATATTGCATAAATTAACCTTTCTAGACTAGGGTGGTCCTTTATGAAAAAAGGAAAAAAAAAGCGCCTTTTTGCCTGCCTAGCTGTTTTTTCTGTTTCCATAATAGTTGACTAATGTAGGAAACAAAGACCCTACCTACTGAAATTTGCCATGTCATACATGTTCTCTCTGCTGACCCTAATATATGGTGGCTTACAGAGAGAGAAAAAAAACCTGCTATCACAAAGAAATAATCTTGCTATTGAAATCTGATTATTTGCCCTTTTACTCTTTTTTTTCTTTTTCTCTTGCTAACAAAGCAACAGAGCATCACCAAATCATGGAAGAAACTTGTGGACATTATTTCACTCTTATTAGGATGGGTATTATACTTCCAGTAGCTTGCTTTTACATCTGGTCTGGAATCTTGATGCAAAGTGACTGCAGAGACACATGCAGTTGCCTCAGAAGGACAGCCTGGGATGTTCCCTCCAGCCACATTCTTTAGCTGGTGGATGAATCCACATGATGTTGCTGGAAATTTAGTATCTAAGAAGTTCTGGCAGAGAGAGTATCTGAATTATCTTTTTGAATGGCTTTAAAGGATTAACTCATTTGTGTTCTCTTGACATAGATTTCTCTCTGACTTCAGAAAGTAGATCCTGTAAAACTACATATGAAGCAGCCAAAACTACACTTAGAAGTAGCTAACTGGAAATTGTTATTCTGTTCTTCCACAGGGCTAAAAATTTTTAGGATAGCTTAAAAAAAAAAAAGTGAAACTGTTTTCCAGTGTGCACATCTTCCTCTTCATTCTCCATCTTGGAAAGATTTTGTTTTGCTTCCTAATGTAAGAATTCAGATAGCAGCAGCCTAGAAAGGAGGAATGTGAAGGGCAAAGTTGCTGCTGTGCGGTGGAGTGTATATGTTGCTCATCAACAAAAGGGACAGCTCCAATCCTACTTAACTGCTTCCTCTCAATTGTACTTTTCTGCCCCTGTGCTTTGGTTTTTCCCTTTTTTTTCCATTCCAGATTTGAGGCTGCTGTTTTTGAAGATTTCCTCCTGGTTTTGGGAGAAAGGGATTAATTTTCTAATAGTTTGACCAATTGTATGGGATTGCTATGGGATCAAGTGATTCCTCCTGTGCAAGAGGAAGTAACTCATACTCTCCTCTCAAATCCTGACTGGTATTTTGTTCCCCCCTCTCACTGATCTGCCCTTCAGTGGTAGCAAGCCATTGGGTGGATTGGAGTCCTGCCATTTAATTTCACCTTAAATAAAAGAGGAATACAAAAAACAAACCTTTTGGACCCTTTGTTATAATATGGTAAGAATTGAGCTGATATCTACAGCTTGCTGCTTAAACTGTTTTTGTGTGGTTTAAGCAAAAACTTTTATTTTCTGAATTTGTTTGAAGTTGCAGCTGTAGGACTGATGAATTATTATCAAACTCCTTTTTTGTTAAAATGTCAAGAATGTTTCCTTTGTTGAGAACTTTATAAAGATGGAAACACACAGCATTTTGAAATGTTAACAGTTAATCCATAATTTAAGAATCTTTTATATTTTAATATCAAGTACAATCTTTATTCATTATTTAAACACTTTTCTTAGCTCTTAGCATACAAACACTGTCATCCTAAATTGTTTGTTTTTCCTCACCAGCTTTGTCAGAGAACAAGAGGAAGCCACAATGTACATTCCTTATATTGTCATTCTGGTCCTCCTCTGGGTCTACAAGAAATTCCTGGAACCATATATCTATCCCATTATCACACCTTTCATTAAGCACATGTGGCCCAAGAAAGCTGTGCAAGAAACAATAGCCACAAAACAATATCAAGGAGCGCTGGAAATCCACAGGCATGTTCGGCCATGAAAAGAAATCAGGAGGATGAATCTGGAATTTATAAAGTAAGATTAATGCAGACATGGCTGGTTCACGTTGAGCTTCTCCTCAACCAACACTCCCGAGTCCTCCTCAGGGCTGCTCTCAATGATTTCTCCCAGTCTGTGCTCATGTCTGGGATTGCCCTGGCCCAGGTGCAGCACCGCAGGCTATAGTAGCGAGCCTATTCCCCCGAGCTCCCCGCGGTTATCGAGGAAAGCCTCTTGCCCTAGGAAGGGCTCACCTGGAGGATGACGACCCGTCCGGGGAAGCCCGGTGCCCGGAGAGGTATGGGGGGCGGTGGCTAGGCCTGCTCGCCCCGGACCACACTTCCTGGTATGCCTCGCGGTGGTGCCGCTTCACCCCTCTGCCTCATCTGCGCATGCGCTGAGAATTGTGCTGGCTACGTGGAAGCTGGAGGCGAGCGGCAGTGGTCGGTGTGCGTGTGCCTGCTCCGGGTGGGGGTCGGGTGCAGGCAGCGGTGGTGGCTGTTAAGGGGAGAGGGCTCCACAGCAGGG